TCGAGCATGCTGATTACGAACACAATATTAGTTTTCAGGATCGTCCATTACTTTTATCGATTTTATCGATTTTTTTTGTAAAGTTCGACCTGCGGGGCTGGGAGTTTGCACAGGGGGGTAATCGAGCATGCAGATTACGAACACAATATTAGTTTCCAGGATCGTCCATTACTTTTTCGATTTTATCGATTTTTTGAAAATTTGAGCTAGGGGGCTGGAATTTGGCACAGGAGTGTAATCGGGCATGCTGATCACCCCCTTGGGGATGATCAGCATGCTCGATTACCCCCCTGTGCCAAATTCCAGCCCCCTAGCTCAAATTTTGCAAAATCGATAAAATCGATAAAAGTAATCGATAATCCCGAAAACCAATATTGTATTCGGAATCCCCATGCTCGATTAACCCCCTGCGCGAACTCCCAGCCCCGTAGCTCAAACTTTGCAAAAAAATCGATAAAATCGATAAAAGTAATCGATAATCCTGAAAACCAATATCGTATTCGTAATCAGCATGCTCGACTACCCCCCTGTGCAAACTCCCAGCCCCGCAGGTCAAACTTTACAAAAAATCGATAAAATCGATAAAAGTAATCGATAATTCTGAAAACTAATATTGTATTCGGAATCCCCATACTCACTTACCCCCCTGTGCCAACTCCCAGCCCCGTAGGTGAACTCCGCAAAAAAATCGATAAAAATCGATAAAATCGATATCGATCGATGACGAAAAGTAGCCTATGACACGCGCCGGGGCCCGAAGTGTATGTGTGCCAAGTTTGGTCCGGATCGGTTCAGAAATGGAATTTTCTATTCGGAACATACGTACACACAGACAGACATACAGACATACATACATACATACATACATACATACAAACAGACATTCAGCTTTATATATAAGATTTATCCTCGTAGCATTCATTTGGAGAGCAGGAAGTGAGGGCAAAAAAGCAGTTGGTTTTTGGGGTAAATAAAATCCCTCATATCTCGCGGCGCAGAAGACCTAGAAAAAAGTCGACGGTCTACTTCGATTCTCCATGATCTCAGCTTTCGAATGGTATGAAGCATGTTAAGGCTTTTTTGCTTCCCGGCTCTGAAAATCATTTGCTCCGGTAACCGATAAAAGCCAATACATTGGTGGAGCTGGGTGGAGCAAGCTAATAGTAAATATCTCCACCCCATTTTTGAAAACTGAAGTTTTTTCGCCCAGCAACCTGTATACCATTCGAAAGCTCAGGAAAAGGGGATTCGACTAGACCGTCGACTTCTTTCTAGCCCCCCTCTATCGAGAGATACACCGCATTTTATCTGAAAACATGGTCATTTTCAACAGCAGATTTCTGCCAAATAAAGACCTAATCACTGCTGATTATCTATCTGTGTTAAAGAGCAGGTCTTCATTAACAAAAGTAGACCGTCGAATTTCTCGTAGCATTCATATGGAGAGCAGAAAGTGAGGACAAAAAATCAGTTCAATTTTGAAGCACATAAAATCCCTCATATTTCGCGGCACAGAAGACCTAGAAAAAAGTCGACGGTCTACGTCGATTCCTCATGATCTCAGGTTTCGAATGGTGTAGAACATGTTAGGGCTTTTTCGCTTCCTGTCTCTAAAAATCATTTGCTCCGGTGACCCATAAAAGCCAACACATTGTATAGGTCGTCCCGAAAGTTTTTGCGCACGATTTTGAAAAATTCATAACTTCTGATTTTTCCAACCGATTTGACTGCTTTCACTTTTATGTGAAAGGGTAAGTTATGCTCTTTCTAATGACATCTCAGCTGCTTAGTGATGGTCATCTGTTGCTTAGATAGGAGCGATAGAAGAAAATTAGTCAAAATTTGAATTTTCTGTGTAGGGCCATGAAAAATCGGAGACTTGCAACAAAAATCGGAGCAGTCAGTATTGTAGGTTCCTTCACCAGCTCTTTCTATCAGTGCAAAGTTTGCGCTGATTGAGGGTCTCTATGAAAAGTTATGATTTTTGAGCAAGCAATACGAAAGGGCGAATTTGGTTTATTTTGGCATTTTTCAGGGAAATCATAACTTTTCATAGAGACGCTCAATCGGCGCAAACTTTGCATTGTTAGAAAGAGCTGGTAAAAAAACCTACAATACTGACTGCTCCGATTTTTGTTGCAAGTCTCCGATTTTTTATGACCCTACACAGAAAATTCAAATTTTGACCTATTTTCTTCTATCGCTCCTATCTACGCAACAGATGACCACTACTAAGCAGCTGAGATGTCATTAGAAAGAGCATAACTTACCCTTTCACATAAAAGTGAAGCAGTCAAATCGGTTGGAAAAATCAGAAATTATGAATTTTTGATTTTTATCTACTCTGTTATCAGAACACAACGCAGAAGTCGTACAACGATGGAGCATCTAAGCAGTTACTTAAGGTTTGTCAACCTTCTACTAAACATACTGTTATCTAAAAACTTCATTTAAAGGATTGGTATAAGTGGATTAGACAGGCTGTTACCGTATGACTTTTTGAAATTTCCTGAAAGATGGTATGAAAAAACTGGTCACCTACCTGCTGACTTTCCTAGTGCTACCAGAGGGCCAGGAAAAAATCACAAAAGCGCTTAGAAGAAGAAGAAAGTTTTAAATACACTTTTGACTCAGAACGCTTTTGCACGCAATTTTACTTCTACTCCGATAACCTATTGGAGGAAGAAGAAGATTTTTCAGGCAGCGAACTTGTTGTCTCTGACGTTAGCAATAGTGATATTGTTGATGATGATGTGCAGGAATTGAAGTTGTTCCTAACTTGTACATCTTTTGGGACAAACCTTATTGCTTTCGTTTTGATGCAATGAAACAGGAGCACAGATCTTCATAAAGTCAATTTTTTTTAATTTTTAATTTCTTTTAAAATTTTTAAAATTTTTTTCAATTTGTGCCTAAATAAGGTATAAATTAGAGCTCTTCATAATACGCTTTTTTACCTTTTCTCTCTTCCTCCCCCCCCCCCCTAGACTCACATATCCCCTTCACCCTGAAAGGTCGGGAACAGCCGAGACCCCCTTCACCTGGGGAGAGCCCAGCTCCCCCTATCACACCTATGGATAGGACTATGTATGAAAAAATACGAAAAAATTATGTGAACTGAAGGCGTGCCCAACTTTTTTCGGAGTTAGGGCGCTTTCAAGCCACCTGAAATTCACCAGAACTTACGAATAAACTTTTATTTCGTAATATCATATTTGATAGTCTAGTTTTCACAGAAGTGATTTGAGCCTGATTGGTGTGCTTGACTCTGAATGATAGTTGCTGAAAGCAGAATCGCTGAAAGCAATATTTGTGAGCAAGATTTCGGTTGACTTCTAATTTCATTGTTTGGAGGTGATTCAAAGTGTTGTAATTTTTAATACTGATAAAATACTAATACTAATAAGGAGTAGTGCCGCGTCTTGGATGCAAAAAGACCCAGCAAACTTATAACTTATCTTTGAAACAATTGTGATCCAAAGTGACAGTTCCTGCTAAGTAGCGCACTATCCGAATACTTCAGAAATTGCTAAAGCTTAATCAGCATAGGTTAGTTGACATGCTGATTACGAAAGTTACACTCATCATGCTTGATGGAGCCTCTTTCTCATACTCGTAGATAAATGGTAGTTTAAGAGGGTCTTATTGAGACCATTCAATAAAGGGAGGGCTTGTATCCGGTGCGTGTTAAACTTTTTCTCGACCGTGGTCATCAACAAGCACAAAGAAGGCATACTGATAGTAGAACAAGCGCGAGCCCCTGAGAAGAAGAGGTGACGCGCTGACGCTGGTTATATACAGCCGAATATTCGAATGTAAAGACTATTCAGTCTAAATGAGATATACTTTACTTGCATTGAGAGATGCGAAAAAAAGTTTTTTCACTATTACGGTAACGAGTTCAAAAATACCCTTCACATTTTCCGATCCGATCATTCGATATTCTGCCATCTACTACTAATCAGACTTGCACTCCATTATGTATTTAACTTTTCAAACATAAACTTTTCTATTTGTACACGAGTATGCGGTCTCAACTATAGTATAGTCGTCTCTCCGGCTACAGTCGAGTAGATTTCCTGCTTAATATAGTGTCCCTGCAGACGCGACAACGCTGAGGCGTCAATAAATGCCTTGCGAGTTCCCGAGCTAGTGTTTTCCAGTGTTTTCTTCGCTTCTTTCATGCTTTTTAGTTGATTCGTTGCTGATAAAGAGGAAAAGGGTAAGTTAAAGAGTAGTTTCTGTTTTCTGAGAAGTTCTATCATCGCATATTCACAGATATCCACGTGGAAGCATTTCGCGTCACCTTCTTGTCTTTTTTTTGTCATTTCCTTTTCTTCTGTCACTTCTTCTTTCAAACCTCCTCCTTCTTGTGAGGCGTTTCTTTGAACGCTAGTTGGCTTGTCTTGCAGCAACTTCGGCTTTCATCCATAGGAAATAGCATTTTAATCAAGTACTTCATGTGATAAAGACAATAGGTCAATCGTAAAAACCACTAGCGTTCAAAGAAGTACCTCACTAAAAGAAAGAGACATGAAGTGACAAAAAAATAGACAGAAGCTGACGCAAACTGCTTCCAAGTGGATATCTTTGAATATGCGATGATAGAACTTCTCAGAAAACAGAAACTACTCTCTAACTTACCTTTTTCTTCTTTATCAGCAACGAATTACCTAAAAAGCATAGAATAAGCAAAGAAAACACTGAAAAACATTAGCTCGGGAACTCGTCAGGCAATTATTGACGCCACAGCGTTGTCGCGTCTGCAGGGACACTATATTAAGCAGGAAATCTACTCGACTGTACATTGAGCGGAGATTGTGGACGTGCGGTGTTGGCAACCACGCTAATGTTGTGAGATAGGGTAGACCATGCATTTATTAAGTCCGCAACGATAGTCCGCCTAACTACTGCTGAGAGGCGACGACTTCTATGGAGACTACTGATTTGTCATTCAGAACTTTTTACGACCTTTACACGATGGGAAAGCAAATCTTTACCTGTACAAGAATAAGAATGATTAAAGTTAATAAAACGGCGCCTGCATAAGTATTTTTGGTTATGACATATACAAACCATATAACTTCGCTGCCTAATGTTGTTGCTTGAAATAGAATGTATGATACATAAAATGCTGTAAGTATGCCTGCATTACTGAGTCTAAGTTTGCCAGTTTCAATCTCCTTACCATGTTTTCTGGTAATATGATAAGCAAATCCTGGAACTGCAATGAGAAATTCTAATAAAGCAAGGAGAAGAAGCATAAAACCAATGCACTGATTGATTGAAATTCCCACTGAAATTCTGGGTTTACTTTTCCGAAAAAAGTAAAGAACAAGATTTCGTCGCCCATCGAAAAGCTCACCAACTAATAAAATGGTAAGACCAGCTGCACAGCCGAACTGAAACAGTATGACCATTTGAAGTATACTCACATTGTTAAGGCTGTAATACCAAGGTTTAAGATTCTGTTTGCAACCTTTCACAAGAACTTTTAAGATTTGGGATAAAAGTGCTCACTCTTGTATCAGATCGTAGCATGATGATGACGATGGCGTGTGGCTAGCGAAACTTAGACCCATTGGAGAATTAGCAAGGCTCAAAACATGTTATTCCGATAGATTGCAACTCGACACAAGATGAAGAATAATGTAGCAGAACGCCTAATTCTTCGCGCATTTCGCTAATAATGAAGGACTAGTTGTGAAAATTTCTTGCTTTGCTTGCTGGCTACAAATACGCAAGAGAAAGGTGGCAGAGGTCCTGTACGATTGACAGAGACCATGCTCCATGCATCATCTGCAGAACACAAAACGATGAAAAATTAGGATTGAATAAAAAATACAGGGTGTCCCAAAAAATGTGAACACTGTTTGATCGTTAATAACTCCCTTGCCTTCACGTCTTTCGCCGAGTTTAAGGCACCATTCTGTAGAGCGAGGTTCAACTTAGATATGTAGTATGAAGCAAAACTTCGATCCCACTTCGTTGCTGTAAGATTACGGTAGGAAATTCGACAAGGATTTTAGGCAGTTGAAGGCCATTTTCTGCCTCGAAACAGAACCAAACAAGCCAAAATCTTTTGTACTATGGTAATGGAAGCCGCTGACTTCGAATATAAAATTTCCACTTTACTACAAAGCTTCTTTTCAAAGTTATCCTAGGTAAATTGTAATAACTGACTTTCCAGCATGTGTCAAAATTGTGAGTACACCATCAAAAAGGCTAAGAACACTCGTAAAAAGTTGTGTAGTGGAATCAGCGTGCGCGAAAACCTTAATACACAATTTTTCAGATTTTTTGAAAAAATTTGGTCAGAAGGCATGTTTTACTATGGTTCCACATGCTGGAATTTCTTACCGTAATCCTACAGTAGCGAAGAGCGAACGGTGCTTCGCTCCATACCATAAATCTAAGTTGAATCTCGCTCTACAGGATGGTGCCTCAAGCTCGGCGAAAGACATGAAAGCAAAGGAGTTATTAACGATCAAACAGTGTTCACATTTTTTGGGACACCCTGTATTAATATGTCAAGTCTAGGGGCGTATGGGTCCTAGCTTGATGTGTAGCGGTACAGGTTGGTATTATATATATTTATTATCTACATATATCACAATAGAGGGGAAGTGAAAGGCTGACTAAGCAGCCTTACGGGGCGCGGTCGTAGACGGTCACTGGCTCCTATCTGACCTCCTCGGCCAGCTCACGGGAGAGCAGCAGGCGGAGCTTAGCTGCGTCCCGACATGAGGTAAAGGTCGCTGTTTGATTATTCAATCCACCTAAACCAACTCCTCCACTCAATCAGTCTGAAGATAATGTACCGAAATCGAAGTTCTCTATGGTCTCGCCGTAACACGTGTACTCCTTACACACGTAACTCGGAAGACGTTCAACAACAGCCGAACAAGCTCGAGGACGAGCTTTCTGAAGGAATGGAGATGTCGGGACGCAGCTAAGCTCCGCCTGCTGCTCTCCCGTGAGCTGGCCGATTAGGTCAGATAGGAGCCAGTGACCGTCTACGACCGCGCCCCGTAAGGCTGCTTAGTCAGCCTTTCACTTCCCCTCTATTGTGATATATGTAGATAATAAATATATATAATACCAACCTGTACCGCTACACATCAAGCTAGGGCCCGTACACCCCTAGACTTGACAAATAATCTCTATATGAAAATTCACTCGCAGGAAAAAGCCAACTTTTTCTGGAAGTTTGAGTTTCAGATGCTTTCGGAACCACAAATTGAAACATGTATGATGGGATCGTCAAATACAAATGCCAGCTTTAAGCTGCTACATGCACACACTCAAGACCTTGGAACTCAAGCGACTCTGCGTTGTTAATTGCCCTGCAAAATCTAGCCTAGTTAGATGATATTCGGATTGAGATTTTACCGGGAGCTGCTTTCATGGTGATTGCTTTCCACGTATAAATCCATTGGCACAATAGTGTCGTGTGCAGCTCTTGTGCCGGCGCCGCCTTTCTCTGCTCATCACAATAGTAAAAAAGGAAGATCGCTTGCTGATGGCAAACCTGCGTTAGGCGTGCAAGTGGCATGTACCCAGGAAGCCGCTGCTGCCGCAGCCAGCCGCGGGGGGCTGTCGGCAAAGCTGCCGCATATACAGGATGTCCCAAAAAATGTACCGAACGTTTGATCTTTTATAACTTCCCTATATGGAAAGCTTTCGCGGATTAAGTGTCATGCGGTAAAGCTGGGTTCAGCTTAGATTTACAGAATAGAGCAAATCACCGATTTCTCTTAATTACTGTAGTATTACGGTGGGAATTTTCGACTCATTTTAAGCTTCTGATAGGCAAGAACAGCTGCTAAAAAATTCCAAAAAAACCAAAGGACGTCAAACTGAGGTTTTCGAGGATGCTAAATCCAGTTACAAAGTTTCGCTACCGTGCTCCCCATCCTCCTACGGTATGCGCACTGTAACGCTAAATTTTTGGCTTTTTTTTTCCAAAATGTACTAAATCAACGTTACGAACACGTTACAAAAAGCAAAAATTAGCGTTAAATTGCGGTCACCGTAGAAAGATGTGGAGTACGGTAGCGGAAAACTTCGTAATTAGATTCGGCATCCCGAAAACCTCAGCTTAACGCCTTGGATTTTTTGGAATTTTTGGCCTGCCAGAAGCTTAAAATTAGTTGAAACCTGCCGTAATCCTACAGTAACTGAGAGAAATCGGTGATTCGCTCTATACTGTAAATCTAAGTTAAACCAAGCTCTACCATATGACACTCAAAGATCCGCGAATGCTTTCCATATAGGGAAGTTATGAAAGATCAAACGTTTGATACATTTTTGGGACACCCTGCAGTACTGTATTTATGCTCGTCATCTAGAACCCTTGCCGAGGGGTTTCTTCGCAACTCGTGAGTTGAGGTAGGATATGGTCTCACGAATAGCGATATCCTTAATATATCTATCGTTTTAAACGGCAGCAAATTCACATCTTATTGAAAACCATGGAATCGAGCACAGAATCAAAACAGAAAACAAACACCTACAAAAATGTGTAAATCAAGTACTTTTCTGCTACAAATTTTGACATCTTGATCTTGAGAGTTTCAAAATTTCCAATTTTTTTATTAAAAAATCCCTAAAAATCAAATTCGTTTTTCCAGGAACACAATCTGAAATGCCGTTTTGTTGAAGCGGTTATCAGGAGTGATTCTTTTCAAATTCAGATCATTTCTTGTTTTGCAACAAGCTCCGCGTTTTGATTTTATTATTACTACTTTTTCATTTTTGCAGAATGGTTGGAGAAGGTTGATGAATTTCATTCAAATTTGAGCCTGAGCTCTTGCAGGCAACTGTACGATTAGAATAAGGCATTTTCTTGATGATTTACTCTCTCCTTCAGCATATGTGGCATTTTTTAACTTTTTTATCATTCACCTATTCATTTCATTTGGCCTACATTGTGCTACAGGCAGTGTCCGAACAAGATGGGGGTTTTGGAATTTCACTGCCATGCAAAAGTAGCCCTTCAGGCACACCACTGCACAAGTAAGAGATTATAAAGTTCGACCCAAAGCAAGAAAAATGATAGGGAGGTGGGTAAACTTACGCCTCAGGGCGGAGTCCCCCGATCTGTTTGAATTCCTGCTATGCGGTGGAATACGCATGCCGCCACAGTCAAAATCGCGGGTTCTCTCAGAGGCTCCGCATCTCAGCCTTGTCGGGGAGTCGAATTTTAAACAAGACTTCGGAAAACGCAGTTCTCGCCGTTTTTTCGCCTTCAATGTGGATTTTGGGATTAGCGTTGCGGATAACCCCCAGTAAGCAGATTTTTAAAAATTGAGTTTTTGCACGGACACTGCCTTCAAGCTCGCATAACAACTAGGTCATAATAACTAATTTTGACAAACTTCTCTTACTGTTAAGTGTGTGTGTGTATGTGTGGTGTGTATGTGGTGTGTGTGTGGTGTGTGGTGTGTGTGGTGTGTGTGTGGTGTGTGTGATGTGTGTGTGTGGTGTGTGTGTGATGTGTGTGTGGTGTGTGTGTGTGGTGTGTGTGTGTGTGGTGTGCGTGTGGTGTGTGTGTGGTGTGTGTGTGTGGTGTGTGTGTGGTGTGTGTGTGTGGTGTGTGTGTGTGTGGTGTGTGTGTGGTGCGTGTGTGGTGTGTGTGTGGTGTGTGTGTGTGGTGTGTGTGGTGTGTGGTGTGTGTGGTGTGTGTGGTGTGTGTGTGTGGTGTGTGAGTGGTGTGTGTGGTGTGTGGTGTGTGTGTGTGGTGTGTGTGTGTGGTGTGTGTGTGGTGCGTGTGGTGTGTGTGTGTGGTGTGTGTGTGTGGTGTGTGTGTGGTGTGTGTGTGGTGTGTGTGTGGTGTGTGTGTGTGGTGTGTGTGTGGTGTGTGTGTGGTGCGTGTGTGGTGTGTGTGTGGTGTGTGTGTGGTGTGTGTGGTGTGTGTGTGGTGTGTGTGTGGTGTGTGTGTGGTGTGTGTGTGTGGTGTGTGTGTGGTGTGTGTGTATGTATGTGTGTGTGTGTGGTGTGTGTGTGGTGTGTGTGTGGTGTGTGTGTGTGGTGTGTGTGTGGTGTGTGTGTGTGTGGTGTGTGTGGTGTGTGTGTGGTGTGTGTGTGTGTGTGGTGTGTGTGTGGTGTGTGTGTGTGGTGTGTGTGTATGGTGTGTGTGTGTGACGAAATTCATAGAGGGAACTGCAAGCAACCTATCGAGTTACAAATTTGCACAACATACCGTATCAGCATGTAAGCCCACCATGCACAAGGTCGAGCCGGTTCAATAAGCGGATCCTTCAAAATTCGCGCGTCAAACGGTTCCACGCGGCGGCTTTTGGTCCGCAAAACTAGGTCACAAATTTAACTTTTCGCAAAGTCATGATTTGCCTGATATTCTAGCTCAGAATGTGCTCAAAAACTTTGCTTGTCTGCGGAAACAGCACCAAAAGTAGTAATTGCATAGAAAGTCGATTTAACAAGGTTTTACCTAAAAAACTGGAAAAAATTTTGCACAGAAATGTAGCTTATGATGACTATTATCTTTGTGACAATTATCAAGTCTAAATAAATTCAGTAATCTATTCAAATTCGCATTTCTTTCTTGGCAAAAAAGTTTTTTTTCTTAAAATTACCGATCCTATATGCAGATGCTTCAAGAATGAACAGTTGCCCACGATTTCCTTTGTGAAGTACAGCCTCGCGCGGTGAGTTCCAAAGTCATCATTGTGGGAGCACGAGAAAGCACGGATAGCAAATGCAGTGCGAACCTCCGCGAAGCGGAGGTGACGCACTGGTAATACAAATACCGAGGGTATCACGCTATCCCCAAAGGCTGATATTGCACCCAACGTGACGAGGTACGCGGAAACTCTCTGCAAAAGTTCTAGATAGTGAGCCTAATTACTGTTCCATCTGCAGAAGATTTCCCTGCACCCCTGCCGACTGGCTGTGGCAGCAGTCGGCTGCTCAGATGATCGCCGGGGCAGGCGGACTGCAAAGCGGTCAGAAAAATTTTGGGCGTGGCCAATTTCAGCGAGCGTACTTCCTTTACTGTCACATGTTCTGCCTACGGGCAGCGACACAGACTTTTCTGCAAGCGGTCATCAAATAATTTCTTTCAGCGAGCGCTCTGCCTCTTGTTACGCGGATTCGACATACGCGGAGCAAAGGTAACACTTCTATATGACATTGGTGTCATCGTTGGGTTTGATTACCCAAGTTTGGAGCACTTTCTCTCAGCGGAGAGTACCTAGACTTTGCGGCCTTTAACAAATTCATATTCTCGCGGCAAGTGCGCGAGAATGCGGTCACTGCGCTGCATTTAATCTATGAAACTGCCGGCATTATTCTCTTCCCCTTCATCCAAAAAGTGGCATGACCTCTTAACCAGGCGGTTCTCTAGCAGCGCCCGAGTATCACTTGCTAGTACGTCAAACTTGCTCTTCTAGTCATTTACCAAGGATGAGAAGAATAAAAAATTTCCCTTGGTTTCGCAGCATTTGGCGATCAGATTATGGTCAAGTCACAGCAAAAAAGCATTCGATTTGAATTTTTTTCTTTAATTATTGCAAGGCTTGCAAGGTTCTTCTTTCTTATTGAGCTCCACTGTTCAACCTTACCTTGTATATTGTGAGCTAGTCGTACTGGAGGGTAGCATATTGACCAATGGCCACGAATAAACTATAAAAATGAAGCGTAATATCACTGCTCTGGCTTGTATTTATCAAAACATGTTTTTTCTTCAGAAAACTTTCAAGGGAAGCTACCTAACTTGGCTCGGCTTCTTGGCAAGTGGCATATATTCTCTGAATCAGCTTCAAATTGCTGTTCCACACTTGCTATTCTTAGCTGCCGAGCACTAATCCGAAGCAAGTTATGGACTTTTTTCTGCGAAATCGACATACTCATCAACTCACTGGCATCATGGCATCATCACCTAAGTGCTAATACATACTTGCGTTGAGCTTCTTTTTAGTGGAAGAAATTGGATTTGTGTTATTTCGATATCTCAGTACCTTTTCCTTCCAGATTTTTATCTACAGTCAGTCTTTCATGTTCAGTAGTATGCTAATTTTGCGCAGGAAAAAGCTCATAACTTGCTTCGGAATGATCCGCGGCGGCTAGGAATAGCATATTTGGAATCAGCGTTTGAAGCTGATTCAGAACATGTGTATACCAAAAGGCCGAGCTACGTTAGGTAGCTTTCCTCATTAGATATTTGCGGAGTTCGCAGAAAAAAATCTGTCCAGTGAGCGAGAAAACGCCGGAAAGTGATCTTTTAAGTATGTACTGGAGGCAAAACTTCTTTTCATTGTATGAGAAGTGGAATCTCGTAGAGTAGGTCTGAATGATAACTTCAAGCAGAATTTCTTTTTCCTTCCAACTGCCATGTACATTGCAAACGAATGCTGAGAGCTAAATGGCAAAGCTTAAGGCTACAATTTAGACTTCACCCTGTCTAACTCTTACTAAGTTTCGGAATTTTTTTGGAGACTTTTGAAGGTGCTCTGAGAGCCACTAGTGCAATTTTTGCATTCCTCCAGCTTCTTCATCAGTATTTTGCTGAATAATTGCTCAAGTCATGAGTTTTGGAAGATACAAAATATATTAGGTTGTAACAGAATTAATGCAGGTTTTTCACACCTCTTTTTGAAGGAGCTGGTTCAAAATAAATTTCCATTGACTTAGGCTTTGGCCATACTTTGCCCGTGTTGCCGATGTTTCCAGTGTTACTCATGTTACTCGTGTTTCTAGTGTTACCACCTTTATTGCTGTTGATTCTCAAAATGATCGCCAGCTTAGTTTCATTCTCAAAAAAAAGTCTCACTGACTGGTGAGTGTACAGGATTTGAGACGATCATACGTCACTAAATAATAATGCCATGCTAGAATTTTAATTTGAAAAAGTTTTTATGACAACAAATTCAATGACATTGTTTACTTTGTAGCATAATGAGCTCTAACGCACTGGCCAACGTTGTGGACGTTGGTGAGGTGTCGTCCGAGAATATGAAACTATACTGGCGATCATTTCAAGAATCAACAGCAATAAAGGCGGTAATACTAGAAACATGAGTAACACGAGTAACAGTGGAAACATCGGCAACACGAGTAACACTGGAAACATCGGCAACATGGGGAAAGTATGGCCAAAGGCTTAGAAAGGTATGCATATCATCTGAAACCGCTCTTCTTTTAGTTTCTTGTGCATGCTTTCGTTTCACGTATGGATTCATCTCGAGATTATGTGCTTTTGAAGTCGAGAAGCTGAACTCTGAAGTTTTCTATTTTTGAACTTTGTGTTCTAAATTCACCGCAAAAAATGCAATATATTGCAAACTGACATAATGTTTGTATGTGATTTGCTCTACAAAACGCACATCTCAGCAGATTTTTCAAAAGTTTCCAGACTGAGAAATTTCAATTCAAACCCAAACAACCGCTGTTATCATTCTGCGGCGCGTAAAAATCCCGAGTGAGAAGCAATCGCAGGGCTTTCGCCATATGCAGAAACAAAAGACTTAGGACATTTGAAAGCAAAAAAACGGGAAGCTGTTATTTTCTTTGGTGGCAAAAAATTCAAAAAACAGCAAAAAAGGACTTTTTCGCTTTTTCTGAGCACTTAATAAGAATGACTAATCACAAATTTTTTGCAATATTTTCTAGCAGAAATTTTTTTGTAAAATTCAAGCTCAACGATGCTGCACAACTGACTATTGTCTACACATTGAGTGAAGTTTGTATCATCCTGCTAGATTGTATAGTAAGTTATGGTCTCTCAAACTAGAGGCTTTCCAAGAAAAATTTTGACAGTCTTCGGGCTATAAATTTTTTCTCAGTGAAGCTGTAACGACAGAGTAGTGCGTACTAATTTGCAAAAGGTGCTGATTATCCTAGTTTTTATTGGAAACGGATTGGCAATTTCTGTGAAAAGCTGTAGTAGTCCAAACTCAAAATTTGGAAAACCTGCATTAATTCTGTTACAACCTAATATAATCGCACGAAACACTGCAAAATCCTTGAAAAGTTCAAAAACACGAATATTACCATTATCAATCCTGGAAAGTGAACGAGAGACTACCGTCTAAATACGAAGATCTTGATACTAAGGAATACAGCGGGCAATCATGAAATAATTTAGAAACGCTCGATTTTGTTTGCAAATTGAACGCTGAAAGAAAACAGCCAATAAAAAGGGGAGAAATATCACATTAAATGATGACTAAACTGCTTACCAATGGTAAGCAGTCCGAGTTTACTCCAAACGATTATTCCAGTGATTTTAAATAACAAGCCAAAACAATTTTCAAAAAAACTGCATCAATTTGCAAAAGTTTTGTTTTATCATCTGGTCATTTACGCATCTTCAAAGTCTCAAATGAAAATCAGCGAAAGTTAGACTTGAATAAGGGTAGTAATTTCAGAGATTATCTCAGCGCTCAGAAAGGCTCTCACTGGCTATTTTAGGAGATAAATCTGCTGGAAAGAGAAGGAAGTTTTGCATTAAACGCTGCTTTCTGTAATGATTTTCACTCTACGATTTTTTGAATCGTTCTAAAAAAACAAAAAAAACTCTGCTCTGATCTTATATGCTTTTATGCCAACTTGAGATGATTCTCGCATTAAGCAAACTTCTTTTCTCCTCAAATTTAGTCTCGATTAATTCAACTGAAACGTATCTTATTAGACAACATAGCTTTCAGCAGCGTGTAAAATGGATCCCAGACTGTAGTAGGGGTCGCCGGAGCAAGACTTTTTTTTGCGGGAAAGCTTTATACACCAACATTTCATATACCATTTCAGAGCTTAGAGCACGAGGAATCAAAGTAGACCGCCACTCTTTTATTCTGGCTATTCTGCGAAGAGAGATATAAGGAATTCTATCTAGCTGCAATATTAGCTAATTTTGGGAATTATTTTATGCATCATTTTTGAAACGGAAAGCTATTTTCTAACTGCGCCCTCAATTTCTACCATGCTCGTCAATCAAAAAAGAAACTCGATTCTTCTTAGTGACCATCCATCCATATAGGGCAGAGCAAACTTCCTGCTTGCACAGTTCTTTCTTGCGACAATAAATATTTATCGAATGGAATCAAACATCCCCTAAAATTTCAGGTTTATCTCGCTATCAAAACTGAATCAATTTGACTGAGACAGGAGGTAGAGGCAGTGTCTTGGCAGAATTTTGTTTTTCATTTTTCACCTTTTTTGAGCCTTTTCGATATGAAAAATCCACATCTGGGCTTTTCAGCGCATGAAAAAGGCGAAAACAAGCTGAAGCTTTCCAGATCCGCATTCATACGTCGAAAGTCTTTCGCGTCTCGTCTCTCTCGTCCCGGGCTTCGCACGCTTATACGCATTCTTTACTGATTGCGGTTTGCTGGCATATTCTTGAAATTCTCCTCACTGTACTTTCTTCGTTTGTGGGGTTTTTCACTCCGCGCAGGTGGCTTATGGTCGGGCGCACAAAAACGCAGTAAACGTTCGGACCATACGCTCGATACATGGACCTACGTGCTCTGGTAACGTTTACTTTGACCTGGAAAAACAGAGGTTATCTAAATCTTCGCGGATTTCAAAACAATGATTAAAGCAGAATAATTTTCTGCCTAATATAGTGTGCCTGCTGTCACAACGTTGAATTTTGCGTGTGAATCATAGGACCGCCCGGGTGCCTGCAAGGTGCGCACGCAGGTGTAGCCGGCGCTACAGTCGTGGAGGGGGGGCAGCCAACATGAACGATAGGTTGTGCCCTCCATATGCGCTGCGTAGGTCAAATCTTCTCAAGTTCCATTTTTACGCTGTGATGATATTTAAAAATTTGGAAAAAACGCTGGGAGTCTGTATGCCTCAATTTTTACTGTTCGACACCTTTCGATCCACTGTAGATCATATCTTTATAAAAAAATAAGACTTTATATCTGGCATGTTAACAACCGCAAGAGTACAGTATGCTTATTTCCAGCTATCGTTCATCTTGGCATACATCCCAGTCGTGGCTATATGTTTACGCTCAACATTACCCCATTTTCTCGGCATTGCAAACGCACCATACTAAGCAGGAAATCTACTCGACTATGCTTGTTTAATTAGATCAAATGATTTTTTAATGCCACATATCTATAAGTTTGTTCACATGAAACTACTTGCATCCTTTATTCTATTTTTTCTTAAGTGGCGTTTCTTGCATTTGTAAGCTTTTTGGGATGCTAGGACGTAGTTTACATCTTAATGAGTTAATGCTATCATGGTAGTGATGCCTTTTGAACCTATAAGGAAGTTTTTGTGACACTATTATAAACTTCTGGATTTAGTATCACCAGGAATGATATCCACGAAAGTCCCCGCGAAATGGGCTTTTCGTGCAAATAAATGGACTTAGCCCATGCGGTGCGATAAGATATCACATTCGCAACTCCATTTATTCCATACAAAAATGCTTAAGCAAAGATTTCTCTAACTTGCTTTAACCTGATTATAGGGGCCTGCATGATCGCGAGAGTCGGACGTGCGTACGGCCACGCGCACATCCGACTCTCGCGATCATGCAGGCTCCTATACTCACTCTTGCAAACTCATTTCCAAATGGTCGGTATCTAACTAGGGCTGACCTAACATCACATTGGCAGTCGCGTGGATATTTCTTGCCATTTATTATCTGACTGTGCATTTAAATACTTCCATTCATCTGAAATACATGTAACGTCCGAGCTTTTCAATCGAATCCATATGCAGAGCTTTCTGCAGAAAGCAAACTCCGGCTAGGCTTGCACTGCAATTTGTGATTTAAAATGCTTACCTCGTAGCAGTGGCGTACCCAGGATTTCGGCTCGGGGGAGGGGGGGGGGGGCAAAAACTTTTTTCTAATGAAGGTGCATGGCGTCAGCCACGCACTCCGAAAATTTTTTTGGTATGCTTTAAAAAATTTTTGCGGGCTCATAACCCCGAAATTTCAGAAGGGGCGTGGCATTGGCCACATCCCCGAAAAGATTTTTTTATAAGGCTGAAATGAATTTTCGAAAAATTTTAAAAAAATATTTGAGCTATTTACAAATATGAACAAGTCGTTTGCACAATTTTATAACTCATGTAAGCAACTTTCAAAATTCCCCCCCCCCGCTCCCTCTCGTACGCCATTGCCTTATAGGAAACCTTGTACTTCATTACAAACCAAAGGGTTTTTTTATGTCGAAAAATCTACGAATCTGCGAAAAGATGACTTCACAAATGTTCTACTTTATCTCTTCTTTCCTTTTTAGCACTAATGCTTATACCTCTAAATAGTTGAACAACTTGAACCTATCATAATCTCATGTGTCGCCAATTTTTGAGATTTTGTAGTAATCCGAAAACTAACTTTGTATAGACATATTTAATAACTTTGTTTAACAGCATACAACTTTATATAGGGGCATATTTTCTCCGCACTTACTTGGGGATTGAAGACATCTAAACAGTAGTAATCTTTCCATCATCGGCATCTGCATCGAGTATATCGTGAGAAAATTACGGGTTTACACAAAATTACAAATTTGCAAAATCTGAAATCATAAGACATGCAAAGTATTTCTAATACGTATTTATTAGTTTTCAGTATTTCTTGGAACCAAATTCAAAATCAAGAACTTTGAAGTGCCGTGTATGATGGTCTGTTTTACGAGATTAGTCGAAGGATAACTTCTGATTAACTATCTTAAAACCTTTTTATTTTATTTTTAGATACAAGCCATAAATGTAGTTTTGGTTGATGATTTGAAGAGTTAGCATACTTTATTTGATTCACATAAGATTTCATCAACGTATTTGGGAGCATTTGAGTTTGTTAGTGAATATCTTGGTAAATTCAACCTTCTTCCATGATTTACATGCGTTTATATGGATGTAGAAGGAAAGACTCATTTCAATTTCATAAAAGACATACAACTTTTTCCACTCACTTGTGACATCAAAATAGGCCAAGGAACACATTCAAATGGGCTTAGTCCCAGCTCACCTTGCTGCTGGGAGAATGGGCGTTCAAGTTTATTTGAAATGGAGGTAAATTGCATTTTGCCCCAATCCAAATGGACTTTTCGCACGATTCTTTCGCAAACGAGAGCTCAGGTAGGGTAGAAAATCATTTCCATCTTAGGTAATGCAAGCGAAAGCAGATTCCGGCCACTCGGGTTTGAAAGTCCATTTTCCTCCATTATAGATTTTCATGGATATCATTCCAGTATTTCACCTCTGCCTAGCGGAGGCTGGCACTGGCTCCTCTATCTACGTGCTTTCCTCTTGCTCGCATGATGTTGACTCTGAAACTCACTATGCGATGCTGACCATCATGAACGAATTGTAAACAACTACTCATTCCAGCTTTTCCATGTAAGAGAGGTAATTTGGGAAGAGAAAGTTTTTGCGCAGAAGATTAAAAAAGAGTCTCGTTTAGTTACTGAAGCTGTTATGGTCGGTTAGTTTCCACAAGGGACAGTAACTTCTGTCACCTACATTTTTGAGCGGAAATCTCTTGCAATAATTAGCTGAAGCCTTGATGATCTGCGCGATTACCCTAAAATCCGGCATATAAGTCCGGACTTATCTGCAGTTTTGGCAGGAAAATCGATGGAAAAACGCCCTCAGCGCCGCCAAAAGGTCTCCCAGATAAGTCCGCCTAAATCCTCTCACAGATACGTCTGTCTGTCCTGAGCACGAGCAAGCGCGACCTAGGAGCACAGACGCGCGCGACCGCCCGCATAGCTTGCCGGTGTAGTTTTAAACAAGGCCGCGAAATCGCCTGAAAAGAAGAGCCAAAGTATTCGACAAGCCATGCAGACTAGTTGCTGACAGTTTCGCCGAGGATTTGTCATCACATACGCTGGTGGGTTCTTTTCCTATATAAGACAGTGCTTGTACACATGGAATTTTTCTGTCGGAAAAATCAAAATAGGTTTTCTCATTGTATCATTGCAATCATCTCATCTTATTATTCATCTTATCGTTTTGGAAGCTACAATGTTTTCAATACATCTCTCGAACCTGTACAGGCTACAACCCTTGAAACTGACTGCCTATACTTTTTGCTTTCTCTATTGTTTTCATGGTCTGAACGTAGTCTCTGTTGACCCACGCCATACGGCTTTTGTCAAATGCTTTCTTGAACGGAAGAGTGACAGCCTGAGAATGCTCAACCTTAGCAAAGCATTAGGCTTCCTTGTTCTTTTTCTCATCTGTTGTTTCATTAAGCCTGTACATCCAAGACAAAAGATACTGTAGTCAAATTTGACGCCGCCTGCTTTTTCTTGTAAAAGAGTAAACCTTTCGATGATCAGCACAAATTTATAGGACTCCGCGTGATTCCAGTGTGCAATGACCGGTAACTCAGCGAAGTTCGCAATCAGGGGGCCCTATATTTCCAGCATAGTCTCGCATGCTGTGACTTAAGCTTTTCAGGAATAAAGATCTGTTGCTTCGGTTCATTCTGAGACAAAAAAAGGCAGCGCAATTGCGCATCCTTCTTGTTTTCATGTGAAAAAATAAGGCGGACTTATCCGCGGGACTTGGCGGCGCGAGGCTGTCACGGAAGCGGACTTAACTGAAGTTCTTCTGCGGTCTTATCTGAGAGGCGGACTTATATGCCGGATTTTAAGGCACTCCTTTTTGGTGATGATTTTGCGTAAAAATAAATGTTTTGTCATTTTTTAGGCTTAAGTCTGTGGTATGTGCATTGGCTTGTTAAATCAAACCCACAAGTTCGAGTGTAATCCCTGGTCGGCCAATGGTCCGTGGACCCATTTGTCGCGCAGTTTTAAAAGGTTCCAATTATCGGGTCAGCTTGTAGTTGCTACTGTTAACTTACTGTTTACCCACATGGCGATAGGGCGCCATGACCAAAATTTCAGATCAAGACCTTGCCTACAACACGCTCTATGATTTTCGCGAGAGACAGGCATGAACACACACACAGAAACAGACAGACACGCTTTATCATGAGTCATGATTATCACAAAAAGGTGCTTCGAGTGATCTGTACGTGGCTAAGAGCTTGTAATACGCTATCACTTGATCTATCTCTCTGTGGAGTTGGTCTGCTACGAAATCACAATGAGAAATGATTTACAATGCATTGAAGCATATGAGAGTTGCTTGAAAAGGAAAGTCCGTTTTGTTAGATATTTACCAGTCGTTCGATTGAGGAATGAGCGAAAGACGTATGCCACTACGTAAGTTTATTAGATCGTTGGCCAGATTGAGCCTCTGCAAAGCAGAGATGGCGCAAGGTATGAAAAAGCAAAGTGTACAAATTCAAAAAATCAATTATTTATTCACTCAAAGACAATAGTTGCGAGTGAAAGATAAATAGAGCGTATTCAAACGATCAAAAATCTGAAATGTTCGTGCTACAGTCCTGTATTTGAAAATGTTTTATGATGCTCACTAACGAGGTTTCTGTACCAATTTCCTAGCCTTCTATCGCAGTTGCAAGCGGTGAAACAAGCACCTGAGCGAGATATAAAAGAAACAGCAAAGTAGACTTTTCAAGGTGGCGTATGAAGAAACGTTGTCCATTTTCTTTTCTTACAAGCGAGTAATTTAGCTCTGCTGAATGTAAATGAACGAACGGAAAAGAATGACATATCTTTCACATCTCTATAGTAAGCTAATTTTCTAATGCGGCTAGTCATTCAAGAGTCAGTGGATGTGTGAAAGATGCGCTTATTTGCCGATGTACTAGTATATGGGCGAATTTGGCACTACAAAAGTAACATATTAGGTCGTTCCGAAAGTAATGTCGCTTTTTTCAAATGAACGCCACATTTCATGGAATCAAGATTTTCAAGAATTCTTAGGAGCATTCGATGCGGCATTTCATCCTCTTTCTAATGGTTGTAATTTCATTGCATAATTTTCATTGAGCTTTCGAAAAATTAACAAAATCTGCAACTCATGCTTTTTGCCATGGTCAAGTTCGGCAATTTTCTAAAATTTTTGTGCCTATTCTGCGAAGAAGTACAAGTGGCAGGTAGATAGAGCAAACCCTATAGGACACAGAATGATTTTTTTTCTTTTCCTTAGCTTGCTTCTTAGAGTTTCTGGAATCAGTCTTAAAATGCCATCAAATTCCATATTTGGTCAACTCAAACCTCACAGGACAACAACCGGCAAGCAACTTGGGTGTCATTCGACGCAGCTTTTTCTCCACTTTTCACCAGTAGTTTTTGGTTTCCGATTCATCAAGTTTTCCGAGATAAAATCATCATAATTCAGGTTTTCCAAGGCACCTCCGGCTGTACCCGGAATTTTCGAAAGTTGCTAATCTGAAGCGGTAAACGCTCATTTGCTTTGCAAAGTTAGTGTAAAACCAAATCCATTTTTGTAAGTTTCAAAATCCGGCGATTTATTGGTGTTTGATGCATTGGTGTCTGAGAGCCTGCTAAAATTCGGTGCTTCTATCAAAAAAACTATACAGAAATTATGACGAGCTCTGAAAAGTAGAAAAAAGTTGTGCTGTTTCCTGTAGGGTTTGCTCCATCCATCCATTACTTGGACTACTTCTGAGGTTTGTTATAAAATTTCAGAAAAATTGTGAAACTTGGCCATCTCAAAAAGCATAGGTCGCAGGGTTTGACTCTTTTGTGGAAGCTCATTGACTGTATTGCAACATCTTCATAACCATTAGAAAGAGAATGAAATGCTGCATCAAATGCTGCCAGAATCTCTTACACACCTTTGTTCCACGAAATGTGGCGTACGTTTGAAAAAAGCGACATTACTTTCGGAACACCTAATATTTCAAGTATTTTGGCTGATTTGTTTTCCAAAAAGGGTTGTTTGATTTCAGAATCATTTACAAGTATGGAATGCCTTTTGGATCAACAAAATATCTTACTTCATCTTTCTTCTTGTCGTCCTCAGCACTCCTTGATGACTCCTTGGAGCTTCTTGCTCCCTCTGATATAGCACCTGTGCCATGCTTTTCGGAAGTACTGCTCTCAGTCTTCCTAGCTTTCTCACGGTCTCTTTTTCTTAATGAGTGAGTTTACCATCCCAGAAATTCGTGAAGCACTAAGCCTACTCTCTAAGCTGTTGTGCCAACTCTCGCATTTTTCTTCGGCCTTCTTTGAACTTTCGTAAAGATTCTTCGTGTTTTGGATGTTTTTTCCCTCTCTGTAAGCAGTATTCTTGGCCCGTATGCGAGTACGTCCCCAGTGGTTTTCAAGTTGTCTATCTTCCCATAGACTTGATCGAAACGACGTAAAGTTGTACTGAGAATATGCACTGCTACGCATGTTTATAGCAGAAATAAATGAAGTATCATGTTTTGAGATCACTTTGCAAGCTGGGGTTTATTGAAAAGCTTACAGCCTTCACAATCACTTGTCTTATTGGTAGCCTTAGTCAGTGTCATGATAGATCCCCAGTACAATTCTATACGTTATCTTCGAGATTGTGGGAAAATATGCCACTTTGAAAACAATGATCAATTTCCTATTCAGAGCGGATCCCGGGATCACACAAAAACAGTGATATTCTAAGCTTCCATGGCAATGTCCTATCATTCATTACGCTGAGGTATCGGAATATGAGAACCTTTATAAGGTAAACAAAAAAGGAAAAATCTAGTTACCCTCTATTCTAAGAGTGATGGGAGCTGGTGCCGCTCGACTCCTGCGCGACTGCCTTGCTTGGGCTCTGCACTTCTTTTGTGAGCGTGCTCTCTATTCAATCCCCTCCCCCCTAATTTAGGAAAAGCCGAGCTACAATCGCTGATTGACCCGTGAGAATATGATTAGAGCACGTTCGCGAAAGAGGCGGGATTTTAGGCCAGGCACTCGCGCGGAACCCGAGTCGCATGAGCCCCCCATAACTCTTAATGATTCAGAGGGTATTTAGAGCAACACCTTCTCAGCTCCACTCCCCTCCCCAGCGAAGAATATGTACATACATATGGACTTATTGCTTGTGTATAGGTATCAGATTGTTCAAAAAGTCACGCGCGACGCTGACAAGTAACACCAAACTCGGGTGCAATCTCAACGATGTTGCCATCGTCCCACGCCATACTTGACAGCTTTACTCATTTTGTCTGCCTCGAGAAGTCACGGTAATCCCATATATGTTTCAGAGCACGAAGTGAATGATTGGATAAGAATGGCTATGACTCTTTTAATAGAACGCAAGCTTGAGATTCTTAGCTGAGTTCGGCAAATTTCAGTTTTTTACAAAACTCTCATTATTCTAGCAACTAAGCTAAGCAACCATGTCCAGAATTTTTTATTTTGTTGAGTTCATCCTCTGGTGTCAGTGACATTGCGACCTACGAATAAGTACAAACCGTTTGTTAAGAAGAAAAAAATCGGCCTGTTTTTGAGAGCTCTAATTGATTATCAGGTGTTACTGCTTTACAGTCAAAAATGAGCCCGCTTTACAATTCAAATGATGCATCGAGCACGCAAAGTTTTGGTGTTGGTGCACTAGAGCAAACGCTTGAGAAAAAACAGAGCAAAAGGTAGCCCAATAGTGAAAACGAAGAAGTTGCCTGCAAGGTTGCTGCGGAACTTTCAGCATATCTAAAAAATAAAAATTTCAAGGTTTGCTGCGACTCATAAGCGAGATATTTGATTTTCTGAGATCACAACATTCACCTGGAAACTCGGCACTTGAATCTTGGCACTTATTGCATTTCAAATCGCGCATTCGTATCGCATATACATTTATGCGCGTGCATGCAGGAAATTGTTGGATAATAGCCTGTTTCGAATCAACGTTTCCATGCGCAACGCGACTAGTACAATTTGTGATTCATCCTACGATTGTGCTACTCAGGCAGGTCATAAACTGCTAGTGCCAGCCTTAACTGCCATTCTCACGAGGCGAAATCTGAAAAAAAAAGATTTACTGTGGATTCCTTCATACTACGCCACAGGAGGACGCGGCAGCTTGCCGAGTGCCCTGCGTACACCGCATCAATCGCAGTGAAAAAACGCTCATGGCAGCACACGCTGTTTATCAATGCATCTTTATATCTGCTGCTCGTTCTTCGAGAGTATTCCTTCAGAGTTTGCAATCTTTTTTTCTCTTCTAACTTGTCTCATCGTCAATCGAATGTTTCTTCATTCATTTCGACGTGTGCTCCCTCAATTTCTGATTTTGCACAGTTTGCATCATGTCTAACTGCAATCTGCATAATTGATTCTAGTGTTTTGTTGTTGCTAAAAACCTCTCATACAAATAAATCGCTCGATGAAGAGGTTTCGACGAAAGGACAAAAATTTAGTACCTCATGAGTAAAAATAAACAAAGTAGCGCATTGAAGTCATTGATGACAATAACTGGAGCGAGATAAGTTTCGCGGAATCGAGGGCGCACACAAAGTCAAAAACTGAATGAAGCATCTTTTATTGACGATGAGGCAAGGTGAAAGAAAGGAAGGGGATTGCAAACTCTAAGGAAATACTCTCGCCGAGCACGAACATGCAGCAGATCTAGTAATATATCGATGAACAGCGAAACTGAGATGTCATGGGCGTATTTCCACTGCGGCGCACGCCGCAGCACGCAGCAGGCTGCAACACACACAGCGCAAGCGGCAGGCTGCCGCATCCTGCGGTGTAGTATGAAGGAACCCTATAAGATTTGCAAGCTTTTCATAAATGAGTTTGTTGAATGTATCCGAGAAGTAATTTATGATTTTGACAAGGGAGGTCAGAAGTATAAGTGACCGCTCACCGCGGATCACCATTAGCTTGTAACGCTGACTTTAAGGCTTTTCATGTGAAGTTTTTGGGAAGGAGATTGACCATTTTGGCGGAAAAAATGAACTTGTGGCAAGGTTAAAATCATTTGCTACACCTCATTAGACTTTACATAAAACATCGACAAGTGTCAGGATACTTCACATCCCTGAACTCTTTTCTTTGATATCGGTAATTTCTACTGCTCCATTCTACAAAGGCTATAAAAACCATCAGTATATTTTTTGCCTCAAAAAGTTCTTATAAGGCCGCCGCTATACTCCTCGAGGAGTATAGCATGCTAACCGCTACGAGGGGCGATTGTCAGTCGCCAACGTTGGCAATCGCCAGTAGTCGATATCGTACCGCTGGTAGATAACATTAGCAGAGTATGACTACGTAGGTTGTTCCCTTTTCGATCTGCCCAGTTACGCTAACAACTATTTCAAGGAGATGAATCTTGAATCAGTTGCGAATGTCACTGATGCTCTGAGGGAGAAAATATTGAAAGAGAAAAGAAAATGTTATTATTATTATTATTATTATTATTATTATTATTATTATTATTATTATTATTATTATTATTATTATTATTATTATTATTATTATTATTATTATTATTATTATTATTATTATTATTATTATCATTATTAATATTATTATCAAAAAAGCGGTGTGGTGTACCACCAAAATTTGCATATCTCGACATCGCCCAAGAATACATTACCAGGCTCCTTAGAGTCTTCAAAACTTTCTAATGATCCGAATTACAAGCGGAAAAGATAACCAACGTACTAAAAGAAGAGAAAACGACGTAAAAAATTAGAAAAAATAAGGAAGTTCAAAACAAGAAAGGTGAAAAACTTTAATATTGGCGATTGGCGTCAATATCGGCGACAAAAATCGCCGGTTCTACATGTATTTGATGCGTATCAATCATCGCCATGCTATACTCTTCGAGGAGTATAGCGCCTGCCTAACTTTCATCCTAGAAGGTTTCGCAGTAAGTGAAGCAGATCTGGAATAACCGTTAGCTCTTACTAATGATGTACAGATTGTGGTGATTGGCCGCTTCGACTTCGTAACCCTCCCATGTAAGAAAAATTCAAATCAGCTTGACAAAGAAATTTTTGGAAGGTTGCAGCCAGCAAATTTTTCCAGTTACCGGGTTATATGCTGTTAAGAATCGAAGAGCATTTCAAGGACTTTTCAATTCCTAGAGGCTGCTAACTCCACCCTCCATTCGGAAGAAAGTTTGCCCGTGATAATTTCCGAAAATTTTTCGAGTCCTCCGCTATCGTTAAAAGAATTCGTAGGTTTGGTTTAGGCTCATAATTGAGATGCATTTGGCTGTTACGCCTTGTTACCAAGACTTATTAAAATTGACTACAGCACGCAATTTAGCACAGCTCACTGGGACTCCTCTTCTACTTTGATCGACTCCTTGCTCCAATTCCCTAGATGTATATCGGCGACGGCGAGATGTTTGGCTTAGAGTTTCATCTTGAAGAGATGAAGTCTTCTTTGTTGATTTCGGTGTTTCTGCAGCTGTAAGCATTTCAACTTTTTTTTTCGAATTTGAGAAACGCTACATAAACCGTACATCCTTCATTTCCTTCTTCAATTTTATCTTCTACCCTTTCGCGGTGATGTCTTACGAGTTTTACATCTTTCAAGTTAATAAACACATTTTTGAATAATGTAGCAGCAAGGATAGCCGAAGCCTGAAAAGCCAGCAGTAAGAGATAAGGAAAGAAAGTTTTTTCGAGTCCACAAAAAGAGTCCATAAAAAACACTTTTCTCAAAGCTCGTTTTGGGAGTGGTCAAAATATTCAACATGCGCCTTTCTGAAATCCCACCCATAAATCTAATCAACAAAAAGAATTTGGAGATTCGCTTTGTGCCGTGAACCTAAGTTGGTGCGTGCTTTGTCCATCTATCAGGTAATTTATTTCAGCAAAACTTTTCCAAAAACTAGCGGCTATGTTACACATTCTGTCAGAGAATGCTAAAGTTTCTGCGGACTACGCCACAAGCTCGCGACGTACACGTAAACCTTCTCAATATGTGTATCGTTTTTGTTCGTGTTTCATCAATGTAAAGCTGATTCGTTGACCGTGCGGACTGGACTTCACTGAGGAGCACGCGCCGCGAGGTAAAACGCTTGCCCCAGTACAAATTCGCCATTGTGCACGTCGTGCTCTCGCGACAATTCAGCCGCACCGCGCGTGGTCCGCAGCGTTTGAGCAGTCCGTGCGGTCAACGAATCTTATATATAAAGCTGAATGTCTGTTTGTCTGTCTGTCTGTATGTCTGTATGTCTGCCTGTCTGTTTGTCTGTACGTATGTTCCGAATAGAAAATTCCATTTCTGAACCGATCCGGACCAAACTTGGCACACATACACTACGGGCGCCGGCGGGTGTCATAGGCTACTTTTCGTCATCGATCGATATCGATTTTATCGATTTTTTGCAAAATTTGAGCTACGGGGCTGGGAGTTGGCACAGGGGGGTAAGTGAGCATGGGGATTCCGAATACAATATTAGTTTTTAGAATCGTGCATTACTTTTATCGATTTTATCGATTTTTTTGCAAAGTTTGAGCTACGGGGCTGGGATTTGGCACGGGGGGGGGGGGGGTAATCGAGCATGCTGATCACCCCCGTGGGGGTGATCAGCATGCTCGATTACACCCCCCTGCCAAATTCCAGCCCCGTAGTATTCCAGCCTCCAGGGTAAACCAGCTAGTAGACAATATATGTTCATACACTTAGGGCCGCATGCACTAACCTCCCCGCGGGGAGGTTAGTGCATGCGGCCCTTAGCCTTCCACTTGCAGGTGGTGCCTTATTTTGTGCTTATGATGGCCAGCGAGCGATCTTTAAAGTAAAAACAACGATTTGTCATTGTCGATGCGTTTACTTATAAATGAATTATACTGTCCTAACTCAAACTTCGTACTCTTTATCATTGTGGTCATACCTTCGATGCAGACATAAAGCCCCAAAATTGAAGATTGTTAAAGCGCCAAAATTGAAGATTTTGAATATGTCCCCCAAAAAAAAGTGTAGATTTATAAGAGACCGAAGAAAAGAAAAAGATGCAAAATAACTAGCAAGAGCGGAAGAAACGTTTGAAAATCAAAAAAGCGCCGCAATCAGCCTGAAATTTTACGCAATCGCAAGTATTTGCCAGATAGTTTACAACAACCGAGGAAGTTAACTCTGCGATACATTATGAATAGAAGCAAGGTCTATCGAATGCACCAAGAAACCACTCAAAGGAAGTAAACAAAAGAAAAAAGCAGGAGTGGTAGTAATATGGTCGAAACCATCATGTTAACTGTGTTTTCATGACACCAGCTGACCAGCAGCTTCACATCATTTTCTCAACGAAACCTCGAATTAACCAGTAGGAAACCTTGAAATGCTATCTTGCAAAGCAAAGTCATTGGAGGAGATCGAAACTCCAATCATTTTCATGCTTGTCGGCAATCATTGCACTTTACCAAATTTGCAGTTCGGTCTCCATCCTTGCAGCTTCCTATAACCTTATCTAAGCTGTAAACAAGTAAGCTTTCTCATAGTAAGTTGCAGAATAATCTCCCTCACTCTTCTTAACTTGCAAAACCAACACATCATTGTTTTAAACGAAAAAGTGGTCGGGGTACTTTTTCATTCCAAACTATGATGTGGTGGTTTCACGTCTGCGTCTCATGAAATGAAGTGCTGTTTTCATTACTTTATCTGATAAGGGAACAATGGTGTTAATCTGCTGTTTAACCCATAGTTTGGTTTAGAATGAAACAAGCATGAAACAGTTATGGTTTTCTGCTAGTTACTTGCTTGTTTCATGATTTTGTATGACCGATTGAACTGAGTGGCCGTGAAAAGATGATCATGCTTACCACGATGTAACCATGATTGAACTATCACATCATTTGTTGGTTTCGACCAAATTACTACCACTCCAGGAGATTTTTGAAAACACTGTTTTTGCCAGATTTCTCGTACAAATGAGAAAATGGAGTTCTGCGACGTTGTCAGCGCGGAAGTAGAAATCAAGAGCTTCCATATGATATACAACTTGTTACGATTAAACTGAAAACAAGAAAGAAAACGGTACCAGAGCCAAATGCCCCGCTCCCCGCGTTTGGGGTAGCGAGGTAGCGCGCAGCGCACGGAGACGCAGACGAGCAGCGGAGACAGACCAGAGCCGACGGGGCATTGGCTCTGGTCGCAGATCTCCGCGGGTCTAAATGAAACCTTGCAACACTACATATATTTCTGATCGGCATGACACGACTGGGAGCACTGACAGCGTCGCAGCCTTGAAAATCATCAATGAGATGAACAAACACGTGCGCGCTTTTCTGCGCAAAGAGTTTTCTTATTCCCTTCAAACCCCAATAGCTTCAATATAAAAAGTCTAGAAAGAGGCCAGTTAAAAAAATTTGCATTGAATTCTACGGATTTCGTTTAGTAGTTGGCTAGTAGTAGTTGGCTAATAGTAGTTGGCTTGTCCTCTTTTGTTGAAACCTCGGCATCGTGAAGTATGTGGTACTGTTTTCTTATGCCATACGAGGTTTGGTGAAGCTCTTTATTACGGCCTTACGTTTCGACTTATCGTCGTCTTCAGAAGCTTAAAGTGGTGTGAGATTTTGACCTTGTGCTCTACTCCACCAAATGCCTTATCGACCTCAAGCTAGTTTTGAACCCCCTTCTAATTTCACTAACAATACTCGTAGAAAGTGAAAGACGAACCAAGCCTTGCTTCGCTTCACTGTTGAAGCACTGATGGTATTGTGCAACCACGTCCTTTGGTGTCAGTAGTGCCAATAGGCCATTTTAAAAGCTTATGGGTCGATGTGCTAAGTACGACAAACTCCTTGGTGCCACTTTCAAAACTCAAGTGAATGCTGGAAGCAACTTACCCAAGCAAGACCGCTTCGACAATGGTGTAGCTCAGAATGAATGTCTGAATGGAATGTCTGAAGTCACAGTGATCGGTAGTGTTCAACTTTCTGATAACGCGTATGAGTTTCTCAGCTTGTGACTCTCGTTCTCTGTTGCGCAAATGTTAATGGGTCGGTTTTCCGCAATGTAGTTGCTGGACTTCAGAGACTTCGAGATCTATGAGGATGAAGGCCAAGCATAACACAACAAGCAAGATCAGGATGCCACAGAGCCACCTTCTTCTACCTCCACCATTTCCAAGCCTATTTTATAAAGAGTTGCCTCCTACACCTGAGGCAGATGTCAAGTTTAAAATGTTATCATCAGATGTTTTAGCCGCATACACACTTTCAAAACGGCTACATCGCACGAACCTTGACTAATCAGCAATGGCTTGGTTATAAAGAAGTACGTGAACTGGTTGTCAGCAATACTGTACGCATCTCGGTGAGTGATGAGGGAGGGGAGTTCGTGATTTTACCACAAGATCTAGATCGCAAAATCACGCAGCTTCACCTGAGCGACGTTTCGCTTTACCGGAACGTCACAGAAAGAGAGTATGTGGCACAGTACAAACGACTCAATCATTGGATTACTACTGGGAAGTTATCTGGTCTCAACGAGAGTTTTTTGAGCAGATCTAAAATACGACCAATATAAGCTGTATTGGGGGACCAACCGATAGAATATGTTAGTTCTTGAACAAGATTGTATGTCAGCTACTGACCAAGGTACCGTCCCATTCATCAAACACCAACCATTTCCTTAAGCGCTTACATAACGCTAAGTTCAACGACGAGTGTGTGGCTGAGTCATTTGATGTGGTATCTCTGTATACCAATGTTCAAAATGACGACGCCTTACAAGCGTTATCCGAAATGTTGGATCAGCTTGGTAAAGACATTCAAACCTTCGGCTTGAGTAAAAGTAACATCATGATTCTGATCAAGGAGTGCTTGAACTGTAACATTTTCAAATGGTCAGGATCTCACTATACCCAGCTAAGAGGTCTCGCAATGGGACAAAGACTTGCGCCAGTGCTAGCGGTCTGCTTTATAAGTAGAATCGAGAACCCGGTGCTGTTAAGACTACCTCTCATGTACTGTCGCTATATCGACGACTGTTATATCATAACATCCACAAAGTCCGAAATGGACGAGTGTTTCCGTTTATTGAATCAACAGTCAGAGTACATAAGATTTGCACGAGAACAGCCGACTGACGGGTGGCTCCCATATTTGAACGTGCAATTTAAACTGTCCGGATCTCACGCGATTGTAACATCTTGTTGCACGCCCGCTCTGCTCATCCTTCAGCCGTCAAACGTGGTGTTATCCACAATATGTTCAAGACTGTAAAACAGGTTTGCACAAGAGAAAAGAAACGGAAAGAATCACGAAATTTGGCGCTGGACATCGCTAGAGGGTATGGCTACTCGATGCAAACGTACGTAGGCCAGGTACCTCGCATGAGATGCTTCAACACAGCAACAAAATTCCTCTCTGTTTACCTTTCATCTCTGATCGAGTAAGTGTTGCTATGCAAGCGCGAACATCAAGAGAAAGCTTGTACGCAATAGACTCTATGACAAATTTTGCATTACAAAAGAATGCAGAGTTTGTCCGTATGGCAATGTTGGCGATTGCGCGAAAGTTGGAGTGATTTACTAGATAGACTGTATAACATGTGGCGCGTCCTACATTGGAGATACTGGAAGACCGCTAAGTGTTAGACTTAAAGAACATCTAGCCGATAAACGACGTGGCGG